GTGGTCCTATTCCTAACCTTTTTATATACCCTTTTTGGCACATTTCACATCCTTAGTTTAGAACTTTGTATCGCTTCAAACTGCTGTAAATGCACTGTCTTTGAAGGATAAATAAACAACAAAACCAGAACGTTTTTTCGACGACTTTTTCACAGTCATTAAATGCATCTATTAGTCCTATTGGGCCTTTTTACAGACTGAAATAACAGATTTTGCTACCCTCTCATATACCTCAACTTTTGAAATCCCTACCCTGTCATATACCTGAAGCCTGAAAAAGGTACCCCTTGCTGGCGGGGTCTCCCGGTGTAAACCATTATAGAGAGTACCCGCCCCCTCCCCACCAGGTGACAGGTAGTGGTTCTCACTGTGTCGTGATTGTTGGAATGTACTAGTAACACAGAAGTATTGAGTTGCTTCTATGGACCGATCACTTGTATCTGCAAAGAAATAAACATATAAAAATAAACATATAAATAAATCAGTGATAAAGAAAATAAATTCGTTCCATCATACCGTAAAATTCCGAAAATAAGCCCCTCCATGTATAAGTCCCCCAAACCGGTAACGTAAAAAAACCTCCGTTAAATTGTCCCTCCAAATATAAGCCCCCCGGGGGCTTGAACTTGGAAAATTGTTCTCAATTACAAAGTAAAACAAAGCAAAAACGGTAAATTTACTTCCAAATATAAGGCTAGCCCAATCGATTTTGAAACGCAAATATCCCTCCGTAGATAAGCCCCTCTGAATATAAGCCCGTCGAAAAATAAGCCCCTGAAAAAGGGCCTTTAAAAAATTTAAGCCGCGGGGCTTATCTTCGGAATTTTACGGTATCTACTACCATTAAAAGGCGCTGTCCATTGTACAAATGTGACTTTTTTTTTTTCAAATTCGGGTGTTCTTTCGGTCATATCCTATAATATATTTTGAAGATTATCTCACGTGACGCCAACTAGGACTATTAAACCAGGGTATGTTTAATTGTTGCTTCCCAAACCATGGAAATTACTTAGCTATTCAAAGTCAAGATTTTATTTAAAGCCATAAATCTAAGTCCTGTTTTAATATAACTATTTAAAAACCTTCCGAAATATTGCGATAACAAATTTAAAGTTAAAGACTGGGTTACCATATTTTCTATTGGATGGGTAAAACACAGTACATTAAACACATTAACGCTAAATCACGGAAATTTATGATAATCAGTAAATTAAGAAGTTTGTATTTTCCGTTCCAACGGTTAGTTTATACTTTTGTTGCAGAATTTGTTAAACTCGTCAAACCTGAAGTTTAAAGTCCACACCAAAGCTCCATTGCACGGATTTAGTCTCCATGTCCTCAAATCGTTTTGCATGAAACAATTGTTTTACGATTATCAATACAACGTACTCATCAGCAAAATTCTTTTGAGCTTCCGTTAAGGCAGTTGTGCGAAACCTCGTATTCTGGTCGGGTCGTATGGCTGAGACTAGCTAGAGTGGCCGCTATGGTCAGTTGCAATGATCGAGACATAGAGAATACTTCATGGAAAGTGCTGGCGTACGGTATTTACGCACGAGTTGTTGACGTATCAGAAATCGATCGAGTGAGCGCAGCGAACGAGTGAGATTTCTGATACAAAAACAACGAGTGCGTAAATACCGTACAAAGCACTTTCCATGTGGTATTGTGTTTATTATATACATACTGAGACATGCATCATTTTGGCGGCTTTTTTATTGTAAATCTTTCAAAAATGCTAAAACTTGCCGCTACACACTTACCGCAAAATGACAACGAAAACGAAGTATCAGCTTTTTAGTAAAAACGTTTGTTAAAAAAATAAATGACGGTAAGGATATGACGTAATCCATGATTGGACGTATCATTTTTTTCACGTGTGAAAACCATCGTTCGCTCCTCTGATTGGCTAGAACTAATTTGCGTACGAAAATTTATGACATAGCTTTTTGGTGAGTATTTCTCAGTATGTATATAATAAAACCTAGTAACCAGGGTTTTTCCGGATCCAACGAGCAGTTCACCCAAGAGCATCGGAAAGAGATGACTTTAAATTTTGCTGGAGAAGCACTTCGGGTACATGCATTTAAATATGCGAAAGAATCTCTAGAAAGAAAGAAAGTCTAGACAGCAATGCCTGAATTTGGTCATTTTTTCTGTTGCAGCCGTTTATTCGTTAATTTTCGCCTTTTATTTATTTATTTATTTATTTATATAGTTTTCTTTTACACCAAATGATAATGAGATCAAATTTAAAGCAAAAGTAAGGAAGAACAAGGAATCGCTGCCCGTGGCAAGTCTCATTATCTCTTTAAAGGCAAAAAAACGGTAATTGCTTTGAAAATGCAAGAAATTACTTTAATTTTGTTCAGGCAAGGTGTAGACATTTTGGAAAGTCGATCGCCATTGATTTGTTCCCTTTTTATTTTTCAACACGTGTAAATAAACATTGCAATATTTTGTTTTTCCTTTTATTTTTATATACATAAAAGCTAATTTAATGAATAAACGTTATCCGTGGTGAAATTTATTTGAAATCTTGTTATGTTAACAATTTTATGAATAGAATGGTTAGGGTAAAAAAAATCGCGAGAGGATGATTTATATAAATTCAGTAAATACTCAAATTGGGAATGGGCTCGATTTAGGACTCTTGCTATCCAATAGCCAAATTTTCAAATGCTATTCTTCTAAAAAGAAGTAGCCCTGGTATTATGATTGAATCCATGGTGCCGGACTGCAATCCTCTTTAATTAATTTCAGTTTATTATTAACTACACAGCTGCTAGAATATTGTAGGTTATTTATTCATTATTAAGCGAACAACCCGCATAAAAAGCAAATACGACACCTACATGTATATGCAAACAGATTCAAATTTAGTTGTTCAATTTGAATCTCCCTGCCTTAAACTTCAACTAAGTCTAAATTACTTAGGTGAAAGGGTTTTTAATACGTTAGGTCGATATGTTCTCTTTAGCTTGTGTAATCACTCCACTGTTTTTAGCAGCAACGTTATTTATCCAAGGTATGTATGAGGTCATAATTTTTTTTAAATTCCTCTTTCAATACCAGACTCTAGAAAATCCCCGCTATATTTCAAACCCTCTCAAAGTCGTCATAATATATATACATATAAATTATATACATTCTTTTTTACCAAACCAAAACAAGATTTAAGTCAAACGAGGTAATTTACAGTCATAAGTCTTCATACAAATTCTGCAAACTGTCTAACTGGAACTCTGTTATTTGGACGCATTGCCACAGGTGTATAATCTATTTAGAGTTCCTTTTATTGTCTCTTCTTGTTCATATATTTCTCGAGAATGAGGTTCCGATATTGGACAGAAAAGTGTCTTAAAAATACTGTTCCATTTATTTACATAATTTTTAATATTATCGGCTCACACCTTATTTCTAAATAATTATATAAAGGGTACAATTCTTGGTTATCAATATTACCAATCCTCAAAAAATGATTGTTTTGCTTAGTTTACTTGGAACAAAACCACGGAAATGTCAAATATTCGCAAAGGAACTTGGCACTGCAACGATTCCTTCGAACGTCGTGCTGAGAATAAACGACCAATGAATAGTAGATGAAGGAAACCTTAGTTTTTTTAAAAAAAACAAAATACACGCTAACAATGGCTCTTATGAGTAGCCTCGTGTGTGAGCAAAATCCTTTGCATTTCCACCCTTTGTTCGAGGGTATTCTTTTCAACTCTACTGCCTTGGGAATTTATTCAAGCAAAACTTCGCAACTTTACAATTTCAAAACGAGGCCTGGTGGTGAACTTTGCAGGTCTGACGTAAACATCATAAGTGCTATTTGTTTGACTGAGCCTGTGCTGCCAGCAACCAACCTTTTTAGATACAGGGGTACAGAAATTGCTGTTAGAAGAGAATTCAACTTTGCTTTCAAAAATAAAGACAGAGTCAAATTTTAGTAGTAATAACATAAGCGTGATATGATAATCATTACATCTGTTTATACCTAGCTTGAAACCGACCAACACTAATTATTTATTTATCAATTCTAGTTTTTCTTTCAAAAAACTAGGATTGAGACATGATTCCAGTCAGTTCACGCCAATCGAAATGCCATGCCAGGAACGAATAACATGCATATTGTTCACTAATAAGGTAGTCAGTCATAAGAACAACTGATGACGAAGACAGAAAAGAAAAGAGAGAAATAATGATCACTTTTGATGACCCTTGGCATCTCGGTTTTTTGTCTTTTTGCTTGTGTGATTGCAATAGGCTATTTCCGAGTTACCCAAGCCTCTGTTTCAAAACGTGGCTAAGTACCAAGCCACTGATATGAAAATAACTTTTTTTTTCGCATGCTACTCTGAAATGGCCTATTAAGCTGTTGGCATGGGCTATTTAAAAGAGTGGCGAAATTAGTATCTGTACCTCGCAGGTTTACGAGCGAGTTCCGATCCGTTCCTCGTGGCGTCTCGAGAAAGTTCGGATCTACTCGTGGTTTCAAACTTCGGGGGAAATCGGGCCTTCCCCGTGTGGCCGCAAGTTTTAAAGGTTGTTTACCATTTACTACAAATTCCCGGAAATTTCGGTTGGGATGTAAATGGTAAACGTTTTCTTGGTGCGTCCCAATGGAAAATTCCCGGGACAAACGGAAATTCTGAAAAGGTAGTCCCGTTTTCCCGGTTGGGACGTTCAGAATGGAAATTCGTTTACCATTTACAAGTTTCTTGAGTTTCGTACTAGTTTCATGTTGCAACTAGAGTCCAGTCTAGCGCGGCGCGACAATCCGGAAATTTTAGGCAAATGGTAAACGACACTTACCGTTCTTACCGAACGAAAATTCTCAAACAAAATTTCCAGAATTTTTTTATAAATGGTAAAAAGTCAAAGTCACTATTACAATCATGTATTTTGCAATCCGCTTAATGCGTTCACAAAAATTGCTGATGTTGGTGTTGAGATACAGGTGAAAAAAAAGTTGTTCATGGTCGTTTTCATGTGACGTGCGTTTTATAGGCACAAAATGTGATTCTTACGAACGGAAGTTGATAGACGAACTTTTGAAGGATTACAATACTGATGTGCGTCCAGTTGAAAACACTTCACAAGTGCTTGAGGTGACTGTAGCTCTTCAACCCTACAGACTGCTAAGAATGGTAAGCCACTTTCTATACTAAGGCTATGCTCACACTACTGGCGGATTATAGCTTTTCGTGCCGACACGAAAAGTTGGGGTCATTATACGTTTCTAGAACTGCTCACCTACCCCTCTCCGAAGCCAACATTTTGCCCTAAGTAAGATGTAAGTGTTAATGTTGGCTTAGGGGTAGGTGGGCATGGACACCTATCTGATATGTGACTCTTCACTTTAGAGATCGGCACGGCGCAGCTTCGTTCCGTTACAGAAATCACGCCGAAACACCGCACGAAAAAAGAAATTTAGTTAGCGTAATGGTGGCGTAAAGCTGGCCTAAAGTTCTCATTTACGTAACTTTACGACCCATTTACGCCACGTAAAGTCATTTTTTACGCTACCTTTACGCACATGCCTAAAGGTATCGTAAAGAAACACTTTACGCTCTGCGTAAAGTTGGCTGTGCAATCCGGAATCCTGGGCTTTGAAGTCCGAAATTCAGCTCAAGCAATCCATAAGTCCACTTGTGAGGGGATTAATCCGGAAGCCAAGTTCCGACAAGGAATTCATAATGCAATACCCAAAAAAATGAGATGAACTGAGCTAAATCACTGTTCTTAAGTGTGAACAGAAGCTGAGCCCTGGCCTATCATCAGGTATAGCGTGAACAAAGCCTATGATACTTCGTGAAGTTTTAATGCGTGATAAAAGCTCTGCAAAAACGCTTCAGCTGAGGGAAATTTTTTATTGCTTCATGTGTTTCTCTCCACTCAGGAGTTTGTGAGATTATCCTTCTGTCTTCAGCATCAAAAAATAGCACGGAGTAAAATTGGTTATCTAGGAGTTAAATGGTGTGATTGATTCACTCGTTTGTTTGTTATTTATCTCTTAACGCGTTTTCTTTTCATTAGAGTGAGGTTGAGCAACTGGTAAGAATGAGCTTTTGGTATAGATTGGTAAGTGATTATGATTTAACGATTTTAACGTCTCCAATAGCTAACTACCTTTCTATATTCACTTACGACTTTATTTATTGCAATATAGTCAATAACAAAATAAATTACAGGTTAACGAGCACTTTCGGAATTTGAAAGGGTGGAGGGGGGGGGGTGGGGGGGGAGAGGACCTTTTTTCTGGAAAATTTGAATTTTGAAAATGTCATCATACAAACAAATTTAAATTACATACATTAGATAACAAAAAACTCGGGGCGCCCCGTGCGCCACAGACTATTGAACGTGGGAACCCGCTAAACTAGCACTCTTGTAACCCCGAGATGTAGCTGAGAGCACCACTAAAATTAATTCAACCTTTTTGAGAATCAAAGGGTTATTTCAGAGAGGACATTTCCTTGCATGCAAATATTCGATAACCTCTGAAGCCCTTTTTGGTTTGTTTTTATTGCTACCGATGGCATTTGCTTTCCACTTCACATGACTTCTTCGTAGACACAAAAAAATCTTTATCCCTTGTAAATCCCAACGAAGTTTGTGCTTGAAGCTTGTGTCCATTCTCCATGTATTGCAGTTCTGGGAGGATTTCTACCTCTCCTGGGATCCCATCAAGTATGGCAATATCACCCGTATTAATATACCAGCAGATGCAATATGGACACCTCCAGTGGGACTGCTTAACTCGTGAGTCAGTCGTCAATCTGGTTGTATAGCTGGAAATTTTTTTCCAACAGCGCGCGCTCTCGTTAGTTACTTCGATTTCACATGACATCTAAAAATGAAACTGTTTCCCGCCAAAATCTCTGAGCGGGCAACATTGCAAATCTATGACGTCAAAGGGTAACAGTGCACTGTTACCCGCGATTGTTAACCAACGACCCTAATAAATTTCCCGCTATATAACAAAACACTTAAGGACTGGTCCCTCGGGAAACAAAATTAATTGTTTCCTTCGGGACCAGTCATGAAGTCTTTAGTATTAGGTGTATCTAATATGTCCATATTCAATCAGGAGTGTTGGGTGAATATCACCCCGCTAGCAGAGTCTTCTTTTGTCTTCCTCTTGATTGAGGAGAAGAAAAGGAGGCTCTGTCCGAATCGCGTTGAGCCTTTGAAGTAACTGCACAGGGAGCCCGCAATCTGTTTATGTAACCGATTGACGTCCGAGCTTACTGTTCACATGTTAATGTAAAGAGGGCGCGCCTTGTTGTCCTGTAATCCACGACATCACATCACATCACATTACAGTAAATGCACTTGATTAAGGTTTGCTTCATCTGTAGCTATATATCGCTAAATATGTGTATGGATCAATGTTAAGTCAACGTTATATTACCTTACCTAGTGAAAATTGACGTCCTATTGCTTCAGAAGTGGTATTTTGAGCGATTTTATTTGAAGGATTTTGAGTTCGCCGTTTAAATCCTCCAAAAGTTGAGATAAGGGTTTGGGTTAACCCTTAGATCAAATGCCCGAGATTAAAAACCGTAGGGAGGTCATAAGCACGCTACAAATAGAAAATGATAGCTAGTCAATTCTGTAATTAAATCGAAACTAACGCTGAATCTGTACAGGTCAATTATAAATGATTTATAGTAGTACTTCCTTAATCCCAGAAACGTAGGGTAGGTATTGACAAAAGTTCTTGTTTAAGAGAAGCTAACAATGTAAGATACAACTGTGACGATTATTACTGATCGTTTTCTTGTTTGAACATCGTCACTTGGTCTTGTCATTATTAATACTAATGTCATCATCATCATCATCATCATCATCGTCATCATCATCATCATTATCAATTACAGATTAAACTCTGGCGTTGCACCTATTCTCGGAGGCGATAATGGTGGACTCACATTAGCTGAGATCAGTTTTAATGGCCGCGTAAGACTCATGGTTCCTGCAATTCTCAGTATATCATGCATAATGGACATGACAATGTATCCATTTGATACTCAAAGATGCAACCTTAATGTTGGTAAGTCACTTGACTACTCGCCCTCCTAAAGTGCGCCAATTACGCATGGGTGTCTTTTTCCCAAAGCCGTAATCGATGCAGCCAATGAAAACAACTTTTAGGAAATTCAACTTCCTTAATACAGACACCAAAAAAGAACAGAGTTAAGTGTGCACATTACAGAGGTGTCCATAATACAGAGATAGGAACTGTATAAAGACGCTTGTGGTCATTGGACTAGGTGAATCTTCATAGAGAAGATTATGTGAGAAGAGGCTGTACTTAACAAATTCCTTCCTTTGTTAAATAACAACTCAAGGGCCACAGAGGTACTAATAAAATGAATTTAATTTATAAGAGAAGTCACTTAACTGAATTTGATCATGACTCACTAGGTACGTGGGGATACACAAGTCATGATTTGATGTTTAAGGCTGATGTGGAGACCTCAACCCTCGCTGAATCAAGTGAAAACTTTTCTGGAAGTGGAGGATGGAGTGTCCTGGAGTACCGAGGTATACGCAGTTCAGTATATTTCATTTCTGTCCTTGCTTTTCTTTAGCTTCAGTTATGTTCGATTTGCAAAACTAGAATTGGCTGACATTCTTCTCGTTATGCCTCAATACAAATCACCTGTACCAATTACATTATTTTTCTGTATACAGCCGTTGATCAGCATGGAAATGATAGTCACAGTCACACAAGTCCATCTGTGACATTCACTATACAGCTAAAGCGTCACACAACTCACTACATTGTCATCTTATTCCTTCCGTGTTTCTCTAACGCAATGCTGACCCTACTGGTTTTTCTCCTGCCGCCGGAGACTGGAGAGAGAATTGGAGTTGGAATCAACACTCTTTTTACCATGTGGGTGAACTATCTCAGGGTGAGCGTGTTTTCCTAGGTCCTATGGTTTATATATACCGAGAGATAGTATCTTCGTCTCTCCCATAATCTGAGACCCAGGTGCAGCTAGTCGGGACAGGATAATCACAGGAGAAACCATTGTAGAACTTGTTTTTTTGTTCTCCCCGAAAACACTTTTTTACAATGGTTTCACCCGTGATAACCCCGTCCCAAATAGCTGTACCTACGTCTCCAAGGGTGGAGGAGACGAAGACGGATTATCTCTTGGTACACCAAAAAAATGAGCGCTAAGGGAAGATGGCTTCTTTTTACTCTCTTCCCAGTACTCCTACTCGCATAGGGAGAGAGGCCTTTACGAAGGAGACAGGAAGCAGGAGTCCTTTGATGCAGGAGAAAATTATGTTCAAGTCCATTTAGCATATCTGTGTGAACAGGAATAGGCTTTCAGAAGCCAATTGATAAGTTTCCTTCAAGAACCCACAGTTACAGTGACATGGGCATCCCCCGCGTTTTTGGCATCCCCATTCCCAAAACCCTACAGATATGGGCTTCCCCATGTAACCCTAACCCTAACCCAAATTGCTAAGGTAATATGAGAAGGGGATGCTCATATCACTAGGGTTATGGGAATGGGGATGCCCATATCATTGTAACACCGCCTCAAACCTCCTAACTTGCGATCAGGCGGTCCTTCTTCCCTTTGTTTTTCACTTCAAGTTGTGCTGATGGTGAATGATACCGTTTTCTCCTTGTTAGGTGCTTAACGACATGCCCAAAAGTCCTGAACTTCCTGCGTTCTGTAGGTTTTACTACTTCGTGATGTTTGAGTGCGTGTGCGCTATCGCCGTATCGTGTCTCCTGATCTCATTCTTCC